CATCGAACACCGCCAGAACTATTTCAATTCTCTGGATTTTTGACTGAGAATGTGGTGGTGGGATATTAGATCTTCAAAAATTCACCGTACAACGTAAAGATGCGTCTCACTCACGGAATTGTAGAACATGGACAGTCAACCCGCTGAAACCACACTGATCCTTCGGAGACCTTCACTACCCATTCACCAGAGACGTTGTTGTTCTTCCGACATGAACATGGCACAAATAGGAGTCCCTTCGAGACGAATTTGACTTCAGCCAAACTGATTCGATTCGACGGGCGGGAGGAGAAAAAAGAAATCAGTGGTTCACTCATTATCTTCTTCTTATCTTCCCACCAAGAACAGCAAAGACGCGGTGACTGGTACACTACGTAACTACACGTATATCGCCTGTTTTAAGGGATTAATGCCAAACCGACGGCTACATTTCTACGCGAGAATATGACAAGATGCGAAGTGCATCTCTTTAGTTGCCTTTCGCAGCGCTTTTAGCTGTAGTCCGTGGAAACAATGAATAATAGAACCATTTGTTGTTATTTTCCTCAAAAGTTTAGTCACGAGCATTTGCAGTCCTTTCAAACAGTCAAGCTGTGTGAACGCCATTTTTTGATGATTAGTGATGTCAGAAGTAGTCTGAAGCATTTTCATGTCAGGTGCTAAATTCTATTCAGCGGCCTGCATACAATCCAATGGTTGCTCATGCTGAATTGAACGGTAACTTTGTAGCTGTACAGTATGCGGGCAGCAATTTCAGCCCATTCGAGTGTTTTACAACGTACACAACTATATGTAATTCTCGTATCAAAAAAGTACGACACGTTATCATGCCCCCTTTTTCAGTTAGCGACTTCGATATTTACCTTATGCTGATTGAAATAGCTTGCGTGTTTCTAAGTCTAGCGGTAAGACCTTTAATTTTCTTCATTATATTGTTCACTGGAATTGCTACTCCGTTTTCACAGAAATCCTAGTAGAAGAAATGGAATTAACATAGTAATGAAGGTGTACGATAATTAGTCTTTAATCTATCTTTATTTCAAACTTCAATACATGCAGCAGCCGTAATGCACCTACATAGAACTTCTGATAACCATAGGTGTACCAAAGTTGCTCTATCAATCAGTTATCATGTTTATGTCGCAATTCTTTCAGGCTTTGGTAGTTATATGGAAAATTAATATATCATCATATCAACAGCGTCATCATTCTATGCTACAACTAGCTGAGAGATATCACTTAGACGAAAACATTCGAGCTGGAAAGTATTACTTACCTGTTGCTCTGAACGATTTCATTTGCAAGGTTTGTTAAGTCTTTGATACACTTTACACTAATAGAAGAGCTCACCATTATGGGCAATAAGTAACTGTGGAGCAATTCCATAAACACCTTGAATATTTCGACAGTCTCGTTAAGTTCATTGTCGTCTCCATCAGAGCACCGATTCCGGTCAGCTATAAAATAATCTCTATCATGGATTACGTAGTTAGCATACTGCATCTTAGAGTAGGCTCCCTTTCGTGACGTTCAGGATCAAAGCCATTTCACAAATCGGAACTCCACGTCGCAGCTACGCAGCTCTAACGCAAGAACGTCAAGCCTAGCGTCTGGTCCTAATCACAACCTCCCCCCCCGACGTAGCCAGAGTCCTGAATCACAGCGACAATCATTAATTTCTCCCATCAAACACCCATATGCGAGCAGCCCCAGTAAAATTTCTTGCTGTCACACACCGCTCTGTTTGTAACTCTCCGAAAGTTTGACAACCAGCCGACAGTTCCTCAGGGGTTGTTGACCGCTTCACGAGTATGATCATTCCCTTAATTCCTTCACAGCCTCATTACCCGCAACTTCCTGCTTTCTTCATCTGCCAATCTCAAGGAAGTTCTGAATTCCGCTAACTCGACTCATCAATCGTAGCGTGGGAAACTCCTTGTGCGGTATGAGAGCTGACATGCTATCTTTCTACGTCAAGGACCAATGGACTGAGCCTGTTTTCTGGTAAAGCGCCCTTCGAAAATTTAAGAGATTGCAAAGCTTGGATTTGTTCCATGTTTGCATCAATTTTGTAAAAAACTGCACTCCAACGCAACAGTGTTTTTTCCTTATTTTCGCTACAGCAATTATCAGTGCCTGCAGGGCTGCCAGATACCAACAAGGGTTGCTGCGAGTGCTCAAAATAAAATAGTTCAGTAGTGTAATACAAGTATGTTAATACAGGGTTTATTTTCAGTTTCAAAGTGTTTTGACTATGTCTCTGCCCATGTAGATAACTACTTTTGTGCCCATGCATATAACTACTTTTGTGCCCATGCAGATCCTCTACTTTTTGTGATTGAAGGGGGAGGGGGTGTGGTCTTAAAAAGCGGAAACGTTTACATGAATGCAAAAAACAACAACACAAACAACAACAAATAGTGTGACGCTGCCGTCGTCTTCATAATCACGTTCTCCTTTAACTCAGGGGCTTCAGCACGAAAATGACCTCAGCCACCGACTAGGCAACCCATGGTCAACTTTTATCATCTATTAGATGGAATGCGACTATTCTCTAGTCAAAAACTTAGCAAACTTCACGCCTAGCAAAATGACTAACCTAAGCATTAGTATGCAGGCTGTCCGTGATAGTATTCAATGGATGTCTGACGAACTAAAATTCTCCGAGGGCTGTGCCTTGACCCGGCGTTTTCATTATCGAAATGTTGTCGACTAGCAAGCTTCACTTGTGCTGTTTGATTCCCCTCCACCGACTGGGGACGCGTTCATACCCTTGACACTAAAGTTTGGGAGGGTTGTAGAATGCGGCAGCAAGGTAATATATCAGCACTTTACTCCTATGACATGCCCCACCATTGCATTCGTCGATTCTCCTGCTTCCCTAGTTCACCAGATCGATACTTATATGCTTTTCTTTGACACCCATCCTCCTAGTATGTTATAGCTCGACTATCCTTTTCATCTGTGTCCTAAGGTCCGGATGCGGCTCAGTTATTCCGTACGGTAACGCAGCTTTATAAGGCAAATAACATGCGCAAAATATTGCCTTTACACTTTCATTTCGTGAATGTTCGTAACAATCGCAGGTAATTTACATTGGACTTTTGATGTACTCGATATTCTTTACGGATATTCCAATCGGATTTGACACAACTCATCTAAGTCATGCCTACGACGTGGTCAGTAATATTTCTACTTATTGACTAAACTCCTTGTTGAGCTAAGCAGCAATGCTTTAGATGGCTGCATACGAGCGATTATTTTTCGGATTGGCTCTGACACTACGAAGCGAAAAGTTCGACAATCTGATGAGGCGAAGGAAAAGAGCTGTTTGTATAGTTGACCGTCAAGCCGCATCTATTTACTTCGAAGATCTGAAAAACATGTGGTCGTGATATCAATAGTTCCATGAATAAAAATATCTGGAAGGGTGTTCTCACCTGAAATAGATTTTTTGATGTTGTTTCGAAGACGTCATGGGATCCTTATACGCTTCTTCAGACTGATTACATAGCTTATTCCATGCAAGGCCACTGAAAAAAAGATTCGATAATTCGCATAAGGTAAATGAAACATGGAAAAGGTTCTAGTCATTCACACACTTTAACATTTTTTTCCAACGTCAAAAACATGTGTGTGTGGTCGTGTGTGTGTGTGCGTGTGTGTGTACCTTATGTTGGCTATTCGAGCAACGATTACCCTACCCTACTGAGCTATAAGACACCGTACAGCCCTCCACTATTAGTAAATTTTTGCTCTCCTCGCTGCTGCATCGTTGATCGTTGGAGTTTTATTTGAACCTCAAACTTGGTTAATCTAAATATAAATAGAAAAAGTCAGACCGAGGGCAAACATAAGAATAAGATGAGCATAAGAATTCTAGAAAAAAGAAGGTTATAAGAAGATATTCCTGTAGATTTTTTAGACCACTGGAGAAAACAATGGGTAAAAAGGCAAAACGAAAGTGCAATCTTGTGATCCTTTGGACAAATGCAAGCCTGGCTAGTCAATGGATGGCATTTCGAGACGGTGGCTTTGATGCGTTTTGATGCGCCAAAGTAATGTTGTGTGCCTACGCGGTAAGAATGTATCCATTAAGCGCTGTTTCTGTCAACGGAAAAATCCACAAATGCTATCAGGAAGAAAACATGGGAAAGACAGTGACATGCTGAGAGAGAGGCTATGCATGATTAACTAAAAACATGATTCACCCTAAGTTATATCTAACCATAAGTATGTTGTGCTACGAAAGAATGCTTCGACAAATTCGATCAGATAAGAGGAAAGCATGGGAAAGACAGTAACATAGTAAAAGAGAAAGTTCATACATGAGATACTAAGAGCATGATTAACTTCAAGTTATAACTGATCACATTTGTGATAACTGTGCTTCAGTAATGCTTTTGCCTTAAACGCCGCGATTTGCTCATTGCTTTCGCTGAAATATGTGGAGCAAAAACGTTGTATTAAAAGGTGCTCAAAAACAATCAGATAGTAGAGCGAGCAAAGAAGTAAAGAAAGAATTTGCTTCTGAATTATTAGGCTGCTCGAAAAGCTTTCAGGAATTTCCGCTCTTTTACTTTGGCGACGTCTAGCGAGCGAATGCTCCAGCACAAAGTCATATGCTAAATGCTATGAGAAAAAGAAGAAATGTTTGTGGATTGAAGGCACGTTCCGCGATAAACTAAGGCTAGGTTCTCATAACCGTGCACGATGGTCAAGCAGGCAACGTCAGAGGCTATGCTGCTTTTAAAAGTTGAAAAACAGCAAGCAAAACGCAGGGCGCTCAGGTTTTAGGCCCATTTGCCCAATAGGTCGCCATGCGCCGACTCCCAGCGACGTGGCATAGTTGAGAGGGGCCATTGCGCACTCCTCTCTCGTCGTTTTTTGCCCCCCGTCTTTTCCCCGTCGGTCGGGCGCCTTTCCGCTAATTCAGCAAATTTGAACTTGACCGTGCAACCCTTAAGCTGTCGTCTGGTGACATGATAGATCAATTGCAACTAAAGAATGTCTTATTCCGGGCCGCTTTTTCATGCTTCTTTTTCTTCAGTAAGGTCAATGATTTGCAATCTGATTTTTTGCGACTGTATTTCCCATGAACTGTAGTTGCGGGGAATTCACCTCAGCTTTAAATGAGCGGTGATGGTACTTATGTAGTCTCGTCTTATCGTTTGTCGTATAACTCACTGAAAACGGATAGTTTAGCTCATTCCGTACACCCCCGCCTTCTAGCTACTCGCTTCATTCTAACTCCCACGCAAGGGCATCCCTCCAAAAAGTTGAGGAAAATGGAACGAACAATGTTGCTTATAAGTACTGGTTCCTATCTCTCACTGTGGTTAATCAGTGTTAAATAAAGTGACTGGAATTTCTCAAAATTGCCCGGACACCCTAATAGTATTAGCCGCGGAATAAATAGTTGCTTGTGCCTTCGCAACCCTGCAACCAAATTTGATTTTTACCATGGAACATGAGGTAGATTAAGATTAATCTCTTTACATTGCGAAGAGCTGGTGGAGAGAATTGTGCTGGGTTGAATCATCAATAGATCGTCAGTTATTTTAGGTAACAACATCAAATGAAGGCTCAGGGTTGAAGACTTCCCTGTTGATTAGCATCTTTCGGATTCCGATTGCTTTTCTAGTTTCATCAAAAAATTTAGGTGGCTTTTTGCTTAGACTAATTGTGTGAACCTAAACAATGACTGGTAGTAGGCCAGCCGGTTAGAGATGTAAAATCGCTGATATTCCCGCCTACAGAAGAAGGACTGTTTCTGTTTTTTGACGAACTTTCCCATTTCTGATATGAGCTGGACGAAAGAAGTAAAATGAAATAAAATCATCTGTGGTAGTTAATAGACATGAGATGTCGGTCAGTGTGTACTTTTGTTGGGTCGCGCAACCTAATTGCCGGATCCTCACATTGAGAAGAGAGAAGATAGAAAGCTTGTAAACAAAGCAGGGCTCGGCAGGTAGGACGACCATGCATGATAACAGGTCTTGACGTATTGTCGATCAAAATTGGACTTTCTGTCGGTGGCCTACTAGTCATTTATCTTTATTAACCCTAGCAATTAGACTGATAGCATGTGTTGTCTGCTGGAATCTGCTATCACCTTCCGAAAAGTTTCGGTACTGCTATCATCTAGAGAGTGGAAAGGTTTGCTACTGCAAAGCCAGGCATTTATAACAACTTTCATTGGAAGACAGTGCTATGCAATAAAGTAGAAGCTGCCATAATAATTTCGATCAATTAATCAATCCAACATAACTGTCTACTAATGGGCAACACTCAGAGATCTTTATTGTGATCGTTCATCAGCAATGTTTTAAATATCAACATCATAAGACCGATATGCAAGAGCTTAGCTACAGAAGAAAATGTCGAATTCAGAAACTGCCCGTATCGTACCCGCAATGAAAAATAAAGTCCTCAAATCGGTCTGCACATGCCTATAGAGTGCTCAGAAAAATCTGAGAAACAAAATTAATATCAATTCTGGTTCCGTGCAAAGAACGCAATTCAATGTGGAAGCATTTCTTCTCTACTGGATAAGTGTTGTTTCGAGGTGTCAGCAAGTTGCGTCAGAAAAATGTTGGATATCTTCCTCCAGCTGCTTTTAAACTGCTATCACTGTAGGAGAACCGCTTCGCTGACGGAGAAAAGGATTCCGGTAGATCAGGCGTTCGTCTTGATGACAGGCGAAGAATTGCAGCATTCTGAAAAAAACGTATGTTCTAAATAAAATGACCGTTTCCGTAATTACTTATCGCACCTATAGGTTCACATTCTTTCATTCGTTTGTCGAACGATCCATATCGACAAATAGAAAAAAAAAAAAATGCTTGAGCCATTGATTCCACGTTGCAGGAACATTTCCAAGGGCTGTTTTCTGTGCAAACTCCCCTCCCAAATACTGGTTGAATTATTTCTAATATATCTAGCTGCGAAGGACTTTCAATCCAACGAAGAAAAACCGCTTTGGAAATACTGGTTCAGGCAACTGCGCTCCTGATCAGCTAGATGGGCTGTTGTCTTCTAGTTTCTACCCGCTGCGCACCAGGTGTGCGTATTGCTTCCATTTGCCATCACTCACGACAAAGGACAGTGTGACCGAACGCTGTGAGAATAATCCATGTTTTCGACAGGAAAACATTTCCATCGCTGCAAGGAACGGAACCGTCATCCTCTCCGTCCTTCTTCAACAACGGACTGTTCGGCTATTCAGCAAAGCTTTCGTTAGTAGTGAGCAACAGGTATGAAGCGGAGCCGCATGCAAAATTGGATGCCCAGCACGACTCCTCCGCCACGACTTCGACTGCGACTGCTTTGACCGAAGTTCCACATCACTGCTTCCTTTAGCTCCATCCTTCTAAACGAAAATTGTCGAAGTGGGCTGGAGGTGAACGAGAGACTTTGACAGCTCTAGTTTATCCCACAATTACTTTAAATGTACGAGGCTGCAGTTAGTCACATTCTCGTCGCGCGCAGATCAGCTTATTTTGGTTAGCTCATCAAACCACCAAATGGATTAGGTCATGCCAGCGTGTGTCCCACCGTTGTTTACCACAGCTGCGACAGTGTATTATATGTGCCGAGAAGCTACCGTAAACCTTACGCTTAGTAGATTACTGTATGTATTTCATGTTGCGATCCGGTCTAACTGGGAAAAGCCGACAGGTTGCTAACCTGGTGCAACGCAGGAATATCCAGTCCTATTCTTTCAGAAAAACCACTGGAAAAGGGCAAGGCCTACAAAATTGACGAAGGAACGATCTCTTCTGCAATGAAGGGGACACCAAATCAAACGGTGCAGCAGTACCGATGGTGAAACCCCTAGAGAACTGCATCTCCACTGTGCACCGGAGCAGCAGTCGGATAGAATTGCTAAGATATACAATGTGCAATACTAGCCGCATTTCGGTTGCTTTTAGTTGAAAAGAGAAGCAATAGGAAACAAAGCAGAGGATTTGTAGGCGAAAGCTGCGCCAAGTGAGAAAGAGAAATTTTGGTACTTGAAGGG